ACGCTGCTAACACAAGTTGTACAGAATGCGATATCTGTGTAATGTGCCTAGTTCAACGTTTTATTTTTGTTTTTGTTTTTTAGCATAGCATTGTGTAGAACAGCATTACGATTCCTGAGGGAGCCTAGACTACGGAAAGCTGCTGATCTGTAGCGAACAACACTGATCTCGTCAATAATCACTTAAATGATACTACCTCCTCAGCTAAAAGTAATCCCAATTTTCGGACTTATGGATCGCACAGCACGACCCAGGTCTATTCTCGATTGTGCTTAGTAAGCATGATAACGCATGCCTCGTGTTCCTCACAGTGCATCTGTACAAGTGTGGCGCTCAGAGAGACAGCTGCGGCATGTGCCTGAAGGCGGAGAGGAAGTTCCAATGTGGCTGGTGCAGTATGGAGGGCCGCTGCACCCTACAGCACCACTGTCCCATGATCAACCCTTACACCAACCGCTGGCTAAATCTAGCCACGGCTAACGTCAAGTGCACTAACCCTCGCATCACTGAGGTCAGTAAACCCGTCTGTTCACGTCACTAATTAAACACCAACGAACTCTTCGCCGGGTCAAATGAACATGGACTACTTCTATTATCATAAAGTACTTTTGTGAGTTCTGAATACGAATATTTATTACATATCGGCAATATTTAAGGTGTCGGAAAGCTGAAAAGAACAGCTTTACCTCTAACTGTTACAAAGCACTGACACTGGAGACTCATTCCATAAATGTGCATTATGACGTATTAGAAGAGGACTTTAATACCATATAAACCATGCAGCCGGAACTGCTGTCAAAGCTGCTCTTCGGGCCAATCAGAATCGAGAAATCAGCAGTGCTGCGGAATAAATGGCATTACTATAGACAAGGAGGTGCCTCCAGGTCGATTTTATTTATCTGTTATTTGTTTTGATTAGCAATGCTAACGACCTTGTAGAACTGTAGAACTATTCACATGGACTAATATAGACACATCGAGGTGTATAATTACATTACGGCAGTGTTTAGCATAATATCACTGTTATTCATAGCCCTTGACCGTAAAATTATAGGCCTTTTAGTTGAAAGCCCTTGACGGAAAATTCCGTTGAAAATACAACGCGAGAGCAATTTGATTATATTGAAGGACCCATTTGATATTGAACATCTGTATCGATGCTTTCAGCACAAACAACCGCAATCTATTGACATTAAAATGGGAACCTACAGTAATTAGGCCTCAAGCTTCATATATATATATATATATATATAGCACTTAACACGCTTCTGTAAAGCACAAATGTGCTTACATTTAATTTTTTTTTTTTTTAATGGGACATTTAAACATTTGTAAAACCTTCTGTTAATTGCTAGTTTGAAAAGAACATGGCTACATCTATAATGCAAATTCTGACCCAGGACAGCAGTCCGACATTCACTCTGTTTGTCTCTGTGTGTCTGTCCGACCTCAATCTCCTCTTACTATCTCTCCTCAAATCACTATGCAGGGTGGAGAGCAGCTGGTGTTTGATTTCATTGAGTGACTCACATATATATGTGTGTGTGTGTGTGTGTGTGTGTGTCACCTTCAGTCTGTCTGCAAGGGCAAGAAGTTTTAGCCATCACTCTAGGGTGCGATGGCCAGACTCAAGATAGCAGCAGTGAAACATTATCCTTCTTTGCTTGTGTGTGTTGTTTTTTTTTTTTTTTGTATGAGGAGAATGAGAGACTTCTGTTGTTTGAGTATATAAAGGATTATAGAATAAATTTATATTGAGTGTTCAACCCTACTCAGTCAAACATCGCTTCAGTCCAGACAAATGAAAGGAAAATAAACAGTACTAGTAGTGACCGATGATCATGGCCACTTCCACGATGACCTCACGCCCATCCAGAGAGCGCTAGGAGTCACTGAATGGTTTGATGAGGAGGAAAATGATGCCAGTCATATGCTACGGCCTTCACACTCACCAGATCTCAACCCAGATCAACACGTATAGGAGATTCTGACACAAATTAAATACTAAGACTCATATTTGTCACCCATCTATTTCAATACAGGTACAAGGATTCCGGTTCAAGTGAGCAAGCTGGACAGAACATGATCTATGTGCACTCACGTACACACACACACACACACACACACATAGACTGTAGTAAAGACGTAGCAGTGATCATGTTTCAGTCTGTGGTTTGAATCAGCTGAGGTTATCGATGCCTTTATCGATGGTAGGAAGAGAACAGAAATAGGAGCTCTGTCCTACTCTGTGTGTGTGTGTGTGTGTGTGTGTGCAGGGAAAAAGTAAGACATGATGTATAATTAGCATGTGTAACGCATGGCTGGACCGTGTTTGGGGTCTGGCCTGGTGCAGAACATACACATCGAAAAATGTGTCCCTTCCGGACCTGTGCCAGACAAGCCAATTAAAAACGGCTGAGGTAATGACTCTGCTAGTACTGCCAAGCTGCCCAGTCCACACTAATACCTACAATTCAACTGAATTGTATTTGTATAGCGCTTTTTAACAATTCACAGAAACATATCGATTCCGGATATCGGATCGAATTAATAAGGCGAAAAAGGGAGGAAAAACTCCCCGAGACGATATGAGGAAGAAACCGTGAGAGGAACCAGACGCGAAAGGGAACGCATCCTCATCGGTGTGCCACCTGATAATGGGATTATAAATAATTCCTTTCTATAACTGTGTACTACATATTCAAAAAAGTCCAACCGACAAGATAAGTCTCATTTCAAGGTAGAAAGCTACGTCTATGTAGGGACATATACATGTATGAGTGCATGTCTGTGTTTGATCAGGGTTTGAAGCGTTCATTCGGTGCTATATATAGCTGTAAATAAGTGGAAGTGTTCTTGAGCACCAGAGGAGACGGGAACAGACGAATAGACAGGCTGAACAAGTGAAAGGTACCAATCAGCAGCTAGGGCGTGATGGAAGGTGTGAGAGAGAATGAGAGACTGCAAGGAGAGCAAGAGGTCAGGGAAAGAGCATTGAGGTCTGCTCAACATGTCTTTGTTCAAGCCAATTCTAATAGTACAGCAGTTAACTCTGAGAACGCTTTTCTCTATTCATTCAAGTCTCCTGCACAGATGGCACAACTCCTACAACCATCCTAAGACATTTTTTTTTGTCAAATTATTGGATGGAAAACGTGTATGAAACCTTTATGGCATCCCAATTCGCCTACTATCTGTTCTCAATAGTATCCGAGATTAGACTTGGTGTGTCCCAAATAGTGATATGTAGAAATGTGTACCCCAAAGGTACCCGTATGGTCTTAGTATTTACAGTAGCTTTGCATCCTTGGATGAAGGAGCAGGAGTACGCTTCGCGGAATTCAAGGACGCGTTTTACATTTACATTTCTTCATTTAGCGGACGCTTTTATCCAAAGTGACTTACAAATGAGGAAATACAAGCGACGCGAGATATCAAGCGGAGAACAATACAAGTCGTGCTACCGTACAAGATTTATAATTGAGTTCTCGAAAAGCAAAGTGAGCAGAGTCGAGGTGTAAGAGCCAGAGTAGGTTTTTTATTATTATTTATTTATGATATTTTTTAAGGATAAAGTGGGTTGGCGTTTTAGGGGTTAGTTAGATGTTCACAGAAGAGGTGGGTCTTTAGCTGTTTCTTGAACATGGTGAAAGATTCTGCGGTCCGGATCGAAGTTTATTCCACCACTGAGGCACGGTTGGTGTGAAGGTTCTGGAAAGGGACCTTGAGCCACACTGAGTAGGTACTACTAAGCGTCAGTCGTTAACCGGAACGTAAGCCTTCAGGAGAGAGTTGAGGTGCTGTTCCAGATAAGGTCTTGTACGTGAGCATCAAGGAATTAAATTTGCTCCGTGCGGCTTCAGGAAGCCAGTGGAGGGAGATGAAGAGGGGTGTGAAATTTTGGGCTGGTTGAAGACGAGGCGTGCCGCTGCATTCCGAATGATTCGGAATTTTAGAGAGGTGCAAATGAAATGTGGAAAAATAAATCAAAGGAATGGTAACTTAAAAATCTATAGTATCATTTACTTACGGAATAATGAAGGAAGAAAAGCTGAAATGCAATGAGGAGTTTGTTTATGGTCACAGTCTGCGTGCAGCAAAAACAGCAACTAACTGTTGATCAGTAATGCATGTTTCTCCTTTCTCCTCGCCTTGACTGTGGATTGGTGGACTCCAAACTCTTTAGAGATGGTTTTTTATGAACTTTTCCAGCTTGAGTAGCATCAACAACTCTTTTTCTGAATCTCCTTTGTTCATGCCATGATGCACTTCCACAAACATGCGGGGTGAAGATCAGACTCTGATAGATCCCTGTTCTTTAAATGTAACAGATCGCTCGCTCACTCACTCACACCTGATCACCTGAAAACCCCTGACTCTAATTTCACCTTCAGATGAACTGCTAATCCTAGAGGTTCACATACTTTTACCTCTCACAGATATGTCATATTGGCTCATTTTACTCAGTGAATTAATAAACGACCATTCGTCTCATTCGTTTCATTGGCATTCTCTTTATCTACTGTTAGGAGGCTTGTGTGAAAATCTAGAGATGTTCTAGGTCGTATTTATGTAGATAATAGAACATTCGAAATGGTTAACCAACTTGAGCAGCAGAAATCCTGTCTTTTAGTATGCTCGGTATTAAACTCGGATTTATACGCTGATTTGTATACATACATGGATATTAGCAACGCTGCCACTGAGATGAGGAACGTCATGAATAATGAATGCTTCTTTTAACAACGTCCCATCCCTCCTCCAAAAGCCCCATTAATATTTAAGAAGCTTTGTTAAATGGAGAGGGACAGGCATCAAATGAGACTGGGAATAAGATGAAGCAGGAACAGTGATGTTCATTTGCAGTAAATAGCTTCTGTTTTGCTTTTTGTTTTGTTTCGTGTTTTTCATTCGCATGAAGAGTTAGTTACTCTCTGGGCATATTACTTTACAAATCAAAGTTCTACACAAAAAAAAAGGATATTTAAATATCATTCAAGGGCGAACTGTGGCTTAGTGGTTATCATGTTCGCCTCACACCTCCAGGGTCGGGGGTTCAATACCCACCGTGGCCCTGTGTGTGTGGAGTTTGTACGTTCTCCCCGGGCTGCGGGGGTTTCCTCCGGGTGCTCCGGTTTCCTCCCCCAGTCCAAAGACATGCATGGTAGTCTGATTGGCGTGTCTAAAGTGACCGTAGTGTATGAATGGGTGTGTGAGTGTGTATGTGGTTGTGCCCTGTGATGGACTGGTTCCCTGTCCAGGGTGTACCCCGCCTTGTACCCGCTGCTCCCTGGGATAGACTCCAGGTTCCTCATGACACTGAAAAGGAGTAAGCGGTAGAAGATGGATGGATAGAATATCATTCATACAAAATCTAAAAAGTCTAGGCAAGTCAAGTTTCCCAAAGTGTTGCCTTTTTTTCATGTTTTGTGGTGAGGCGCGACTTTTAAAAAAAAAAAAAAAAAAACCAACCACCCCCGTGTTTTTTTTTTTTTTTTTTTTTTTTTTTTTTTTTTTGGGTTTTTTTTTTTTTTTTTTTGTTTTGGCTTTTTGACCCGGCAGGGAAAAAAAGGGGGGGGGGGGGGAGGGGAAAGGAAAGCACACCCAATATACAAGCTTATATAATTTTAATATAAAAAAAAAATAAATAATATAAAAAAAAATTAATAAGTTGAGTTGTTTTTTTTTTTTTTTTTTTTTTTTTCAGAAGTGGATGAGCGTGTGGGACGCAGCGAAAGGGAAAAAAATATATATGTTTGTTTGAACAAAAAATTTCACACACAAATGATTTAAAAGTTTGACTTATGAAAATGTCCAATTGTTTCGAGCGATCTTAACCGACACAAACAACAGAGAGTGAAGAGAACAGAAAGTGCATCTACGTACAGCGTATGTATTAAAATGCTTCTTAAATTAGCTTAAATTAGCCGTTCCTGGGTGCAGAATTTCGAATGAATTGGAACATAGAGAATGTAATATACAGAAGGTGCTTTTAAAGAGCTCGTACGCACATCTCATTTGACTTTACAGAGTCTTAACAGGCCTGCTTGACTTAGCAACGACCTTGCACACTCATGGCCGTTCTCCAGCACCTCTAACCTACACACGCTGCACTCATAAATACTGATGTGACAGGAAGGAAGACTCATAGTCACACATGCATGCACAAGCAGCATCCGTAGTCGTCCACATAGTCCGATTTTTCTCTCACACACACACACGCACACACGCACAAACGCACACACACACACATGCACGGACTGGCCTTAGGAGAAAAAGACATCCACTTTGAAATGAAAATAAATAAATCATATCGGCCTGATTGAAGCGCCGCACCGCTCACAGCTACAAACATAGCATTACTGTGACAGCGTTGTCCCTCTTGGGCTCACAAGTCTATTTGCAGAAGAGTATTAAATTGAACTCAGTCATCCAAAAAGCCCAGTGCTCCCAAAACAAAATGCCTTCCCCTTACCACTCTTTCCTTCCCTTCTCTCCTCCTGTGTTGCTGACATCAGCTGGACAGAAATTCATTATAAGGACCTTTCTTTCCTTTGTTGTTTTATTTATCCATCCATCCATCCATCTTCAACCGCTTATTCCTGCTTCAGGGTCTCGGGGAACCTGGAGCCTATCCCAGGAAGCATCGGGCACAAGGCGGGGTACACCCTGGACAGGGTGCCAGTCCATCACAGGGCACAATCACATACACATTCACACACCCATTCATACACTACGGACAATTTACCAAGCTGCCAATCAACCTACCATGCATGTGTTTGGACTGGGGGAGGAAACCGGAGTACCCGGAGGAAACCCCCGCAGCACGGGGAGAACATGCAAACTCCGCACACACATGGCCCCGGCGGGAATCAAACCCCCGACCCTGGAGGTGTGAGGCGAACGTGCTAACCACTAAGCCACCGTGCGCCCTGTTTTATTTATTTTTTTCTTTATTTTTTTTTTATCTCTGCCAGCCATCAGTTAAAAGGCAGTTCAACACAAATAGAGCATTTAGAGTGGGCTTTTACGCAGCAAGAAACAAGTCATAATCCGAATTTTATCAAGCCCATAAAGTCTGTTCCCTGAGCAAAACGGGACATGCTTGAGCCACCATAAAACAGTCCATGCTGGCTGGAGCAACAAATCATACCTCCGTTCCTTCGCACGCTTTATTACGACGCCCTTGTTATACGGTACATGACAATGCGCGAGAGAAAGAATTCTCAAAGGACAGAAATAAATCCACCATTTATGCTTGCATATACTGTTCTAAAACTTGTGTCTATTCCCAATTGACAGGCTTTTTGTTCTGCGTGTCAGCGTCACATTTAGCTCAGGAGCTGCTCAGATATTATACCGCTCCCTATAACCCCACCGTCTCTCCCTCCTCGAACTGTTCTAACTCTCTCGCTCTCTCTCTCTCTCTCTCTCTCTCTCTTTGTCATTGTCTGGAGCTAAAAACTGCCACAGTAGGAACACTTCACAGTTTTAGCTCAAGGACAACATACTCTCAGTCGTAGATATTAAAGCTGATACATAGAACAAGCTTTTTCTCTGAATTATGAGTAAAAGCACTGAGGATGTCGCGTCCCCAGACCCCCCGAAGGCAAACACAAATCTCTTCTTGCAACCCGTGCATTGCTACACATCGTGTATGTTTAAGCTCGAATAAACCATCTCGCACGTACAATTCATACTGGCGTTCCAGCATCCTCTATTTCTGGCTCGTAATTTTCACTTACGAGCATGACCTGGGTATTACAGTATGGCGCGAAGGAATTCTCTGGTGCTCGCCATAAAGTTTGGCTTCTCGCAAAGGCACGCAGCATGCCAAATCAGCTCGTTTATGGCAGATTTTCTAATCAACAGCCTGATCCAGCATATGCAGTTAACCCCCTGCCTCCCTGACCAGTGTGAGAAGAGGAAATCGGCTGCCTGTTTTTTTTGTTTTTTTTTTCCCCTCTCTGGCGTATTAGCCTTCTTTGAATGTGACAGTCAAGGGAGTGAGGCGGGCAACGCCTGTCCTCTTAACAGGATTACACTGTGAACAGAGCCACAGGATATGCGCACATAGAGAGCAGAGGGACTCCGCGCTTTACACCAGTGTACACAGTCAAGGCACCACACTGGCCTCTGTGTGAGCGAGTGTGTGTGAGGATGAGATGCTGTCAAGCACTCACACACATACACAGTATGAATGTATGTTATCTCAGTTAGCCCCAGGGCAGCAGCTCCCTTCAGAAGAGTGTGATGCATAAAGATTTTGTTGGAAGGCTCTGAATCGTTTCTGCAGGCCTGAACTGGGACAGTTAATGAGGGTGAAATTGCTGTGCCACTACTACACTACTGCCCCTTGCTAAGCTTTCGGAGGATTCCCGCGTTGTAGGCCGGTGACAGTATGTCCATCCGCTGAGTCTAACCTCACAGTGTCGTCTCCTCAAAGCACGAACAAGATGTTTAAAGTATGAACTCACAGACAGAGATCTAGTCAACACTCGGATGTCATGGCTGGTCAGTCACACTCAGTTCCGGGTGTTTGTTTCTTAAGAGTGTAGACAGCAAGTCAATGTGGACGTGGATGTGGACTATTGATCAGATGGTTATGAGTTCAAATCCAGGCATTACCACTCTGTCATCGGACCCATGACCCTTGACCCTGACCTGCTCGGCTCGATTCAAAGTGACTTCGCATAAAAGCGTCTGCCACATGTGTAAATGTCAGATGCAAATGTATCCGTCAGTTTGCCGAGTGTGAATGAGGGTGGAATTGGTATTTTCGTCTATTATTTGGTTTGGTTTCATGTTATGCTTAAGTAAATGACCCAAAATGCATTAGCTGATGGGGAATGGGGACAGGGCTGAGAACATACTCATAAAACATTTGCAAAAATGTACTCGTTAAAACGGTAAACAAACCTTTGATGAGCACGTTCTGAAATCATGGAGCACAGAAAACAAACATGACTTGTTTAAAACATGCAGGTCCAGGGTTCGATTCCCGCCAGAGCCATGTGTGTGCGGAGTTCGCATGTTCTCCCCGTGCTGCGGGGGTTTCCTCCGGGTACTCCTCCCCCATGGTAGGTTGGTAAATTCTCCATAGTGTATGAATGAGCGATGGACTGGCACCCTGTCCAGGGTGTACCCTGCCTTGTGCCCGATGCTTCCTGGGATAGGCTCCAGGTTCCCTGCGAACATGCAGAACATTTGAACAAAGTGACAAAAAATATTCTGAGCAATATATAGTCACTTGAGGCTCATGGCACCTTGTCCCAATCTCAGATTGTCTATAGCTATGGTGTATAAGTCTATAGTAAACACACCGTTTCCAGGTTTCTGCATGTGAGTCTGATCCATGGTCGGCCATGTGCAGTAAAGTCCTTGCCGTGAAAGCACACAAATCTTGATCATGTTGAGTGATGAACCTACCAGACTTTCTACTGATAGATAGTCTATTGTTGTCTAGACTTTGGAGCGAGCACATACAGCACTCTATTTCCTTTCTGACAGACTCGTCTTCTATTAGGTTTGGTGCGAATCTTCACTCTACTTTTCGCCTCTGCACGAGCTATTCCTGCTTTAAAAAAAGCAGCCTTTAACTCTGTATAGTGGTGCACATAAAAAGATTTTTTTATAAATAAAAAAAAAAACTGGGCTTGTCTTTCTTGCTCCTCTATTTCCTTGGCTGAAGTCGTGACAGATATAGTCCGATATGGATATATTTAGAATCACGTTCTCATTTGCTTTTTTATCCACAATGTTTGCCTCCGAGGGTATTTCATGGCCCAGGAACTAATAGAAGATTCATGTATTCATGCCCTCCAGCATTGCAGTGATGTACTTCCTTTACATCCTGAACAATTAATGTCCACTAAATTGAGACTACAATGCAGCAGTCCCACTGGGTCGTGTAGGCTCAGTTCTCCTGGGGTATTCTGGGCGAGATTACAGAATGCGACTAGTCTCGGATCAGTGAACAGTCACAGCCTAAGAACTGTAGTTGAATTGCTTTTACTTTTGCATGCCCACCCACTAATGGTTTATTGATTGTGTATGTAGTGGGCTGTTGAGTGCA